TACTCGAACCGGCTGGTCCATCAGCCACCGCCCTTTGAGTGTCCCCACCAACTTTCATCACAAAGTTACACCATTGCTCCTGGGTATACAAAGAATAAGTAAGTAAGAACCAAAAATGTAGGGATGGTTGGTTAAGGTGGTAGCAACCTGGCACAATGGTTACAATGGTACAATGTTAAGAAGTATCCAGATACATTTTACCCTTCATTCAAAAATGAACCTCACCAAGGCAGCAGCAGCAGCAGCTCCGTTTAAACAAAACATCCTGTTCATCTGTGAAGCTCCTGTTTATATTTGACATTTACTGAGTAAAAGAATGTCAGATTTAGAAATAACTTTTCCATGACCCAAAATATAAATGGTGAACGTTACAAAAAGTCAAGCCAGTTTTGGCCTGATCTCTACATTTTGAGGTTGTGTTGAAATAAGTTGATGTAGATCAGTGTTTCCCAACCTTTTTTGACTTGTGTACCCCTTTGGGCATTTTGTATTACCATAAGTGACCCCCTCAGTCAGAAGTATTGATCACTGCCCACAAGCAGAACGTGCAATAACTGATTATAATGTGAGCATTTAATTCTTGGGCATTTTATTATTTTCACCTCAAATAAAAAGCAACACAAATATGTTGCCTGGAAGTTAGTAAGGAATCAAAATAAACAATATAAAATCATACTATAAATCTGCCTTTATAGAAGTGGAGCTCCTTTGAGTAACTCCCTTTTGATCACATTTGAACTTACCTGTAGTGAATTGGAGACAAAATCCTAAACAAAAACTATAGCTAGTCAGACTCCATTTATTTTACTTGGATTTCAACATTCCTGACACCTGAGCTGCTTTGATGAGCTCTGATAGCTCAGTGTGAAAAAACAGCTGTTACCAGGCTATTCTACACTCACCGGCCACTTTATTAGGTACACCTGTCCAACTGCTCGTTAACACTTAATTTCTAAGCAGCCAATCACATGGCGGCAACTCAGTGCATTTAGGCATGTAGACATGGTCAAGACAATCTCCTGCAGTTCAAACCGAGCATCAGTATGGGGAAGAAAGGTGATTTGAGTGACTTTGAATGTGGCATGATTGTTGGTGCCAGAAGGGCTGGTCTGAGTATTTCAGAAACTGCTGATCTACTGGGATTTTCACGCACAACCAACTCTAGGGTTTACAGAGAATGGTCCGAAAAAGAAAAAACATCCAGTGAGCGGCAGTTCTGTGGGCGTAAATGCATTGTTGATGCCAGAGGTCAGAGGAGAATGGCCAGACTGGTTCGAGCTGATAGCAGGGCAACAGTGACTCAAATAACCCCCCGTTACAACCAAGGTGGGCAGAAGAGCATCTCTGAACGCACAGTACGTCGAACTTTGAGGCAGATGGGCTACAGCAGCAGAAGACCACACCGGGTGCCACTCCTTTCAGCTAAGAACAGGAAACTGAGGCTACAATTTGCACAAGCTCATCGAAATTGGACAATAGAAGATTGGAAAAACGTTGCCTGGTCTGATGAGTCTCGATTTCTGCTGCAAACATTCGGATGGTAGGGTCAGAATTTGGCGTCTACAACATGAAAGCATGGCTCCATCCTGCCTTGTATCAAAGGTTCAGGCTGGTGGTGGTGGTGTCATGGTGTGGGGAATATTTTCTTGGCACTCTTTGGGCCCCTTGGTACCAATTGAGCATCGTTGCAACGCCACAGCCTACCTGAGTATTGTTGCTGACCATGTCCATCCCTTTATGACCACAATGTACCCAACTTCTGATGGCTACTTTCAGCAGGATAATGCGCCATGTCATAAAGCTGGAATCATCTCAGACTGGTTTCTTGAACATGACAATGAGTTCACTCTACTCAAATGGCCTCCACAGTCACCAGATCTCAATCCAATAGAGCATCTTTGGGATGTGGTGAAACGGGAGATTTGCATCATGGATGTGCAGCCGACAAATCTGCGGCAACTGTGTGATGCCATCATGTCAATATGGACCAAACTCCCTGAGGAATGCTTCCAGCACCTTGTTGAATCTATGCCACGAAGAATTGAGGCAGTTCTGAAGGCAAAAGGGGGTCCAACCCGTTACTAGCATGGGGTACCTAATAAAGTGGCTGGTGAGTGTATACATCCAGTCTGTTTCTCTGCTTGGTTTGGGTGTAAGTCAGAGCTAAAGATAAACTCAGTGAATACTTAAACTTACTTAAAAAAAATAAATAAAATTGTTTAATTTTTTAGTTGGGTCTTCACAAAGCAGAACAGATCCCAGCCCTATTTTATTTTACTAACTACGAAATAAAATATTTTTATGTACCCCTTGCAATGCAATCATGGACCACTAGGGGTGCGAGTACCTCCAGTAGGGAATCACTGATGTAGATGGTGCTGCATTTTGTTTGATCCATAGTTTAAAAGAAAGATCTTTTATTAAAGGTCAAAGGAAGATCCCAAAAAAAATTGATACGGTTAACTATTTGAATTACTGGTTTTTAGCCTCTACTCTAAATATGAAAACATTTTTCAGTTTTTAAGTTAATTTTGAAATCATTGCTATTCCAAAGTGGCAAATGTATTCTTTGGCATTTGATTGCAAAGTTGAAGGATATTTGTGTGCCTGTACAATGTTAATCCTAAATCAGAATGTTATTTACTAAGCTACCATGAACAATATAGAAAAATGTGTTCTCATCTGCTACTAAAGTACCATTCATGCTATTGTTAGTCGATCTGAATTACATGCCACATTCTGCAAAGGAATGCAACTTTCATTCATATACTGCAGCCTCAATTTTTTAATAATGTCCCCTGATGTGGCAGCATGTGGGAAAACAACTCTCAGTAACCTAAGATGTTTTACAGAAGTTATCTGAGTATGTAGTCGAGTTAGTGTTCCTGTTGCAACAAACGTATTCTTAGAACTGTTTTCTGTTCTCATTTCTGTACTTAAATTTCTTTTTGTATGTAATTTTATTACAACTGCTTAAAATGTAAACCATGTCACACACTGATAGTGTTACTGTATGTAAATCCAAAGAGTACTGAGGGAAACAGTGAGCCATGCATCGCTGTTTCACTGAATACAGTGAGGCAGTTTGTCATGCATCATACAGTGAGTGAGTTTTGAGTGGGCCTCTTTTATTTGTCAAAGCAAAGTCGTTTTACCAAATATTAGGCATGAAATAGAATAGAATAGAATGTTCCTTTATTGTACCACAGCTAGCAATTCAAGTGTGTCAGGAGCAACCAAAAAAGGTACGTAAAAACAAACAGGATCGCATGTCACTAAATTTTTCGAAAAAATTAAGATTTAAAAAGCTCAAAAAAAGGAGTCAAAAAATTAGAAATGAGTAGACAGTAGAGGAATTACCAACATTGTACACAAAAAAGTAAACTACCTGAAGGAATGCATAAAACCTCAAACTAGAGGTTCAACCACTAACAATCCATAACATGTATGAGCTACAGTGGAATGGGTAAAAATGTCAGTCACTGTATGAGCAAAACTCATAGAGACAAAACCCCATCAGCTAAAGATGCTGGCTGAGTACAAATGCAAGCCACTCTTCTGACCCTTTTTTCAGGGTGAGTTTTTAATATCACATACAATCCTAATAAAATATATTTTGGTTTGTGGTTGTGAAATGTGAGGGTTATGAATGTGAGGGTTATGAATCCTTTGCTAGGCGCTGACCAATTTAGAGCTAAATGTCTTATATAGTTGGTGTAAAAGTATGAACTATTATTTTCAGGGCTTTAGAAAACATGCTTAAAGCTATTGCTTCTAAGCACTGCAGGTCAACTTTTTAGGATCAAACTCTTTGAATCCTAAAGTTAATTTTTAGAAGCCAGATCAATACATTCCAGAAATAAAACCTTTGTCCCAAACTGTCAGCAGGTCTTTAGATGGACTTGATAAAGGTTAACACACACTGAAGCCACTTTGCTCATTGTACACAAGGAAAATGTGTCAGTTCTCCCCATGACTCCAAGTTGACCTATGTGCGCCTACATTTCCTCCCCCCGGCTCATGTTTCTCTCCAACAGAAATTGGCCAAGGCCCAGCATCGAGATAAGGACGTGTCTATCTTACAAACACACACACCCACACACACTCTGAAGCTTGCACACAGCTCCCGCACACAGTTCATAACTCAAGCCAAAACCATCAGAAATGAATGGTGAGCACATGGAAACACACAAAAGGCACTGGGCTGCGAGGGGGGTGCTGTGTATGATACGGCGAACAAAGAGGAGCTGAATACCCTTGGCTGAAACTATCAAAAACAATGAAGGTCAGCCGTTCAAGGCCACAAAAACCTCATCTAGTCTACAACCAGTCTAAAGCTCATGCATTTCCTGCTTCTTAATCAGACGTACTGCAGTTGGACTCAGATGAAACAACTGTTTAATAAAACATCAAAGCTTTATAGCACTGTGCTCCATGCTCCATGTGTTTTGATTGACAGAAATATTCCATTGTTAAAGGTTTATATTGCCGCTATAAATCATTGATGCAGGAGAGGGATTAATTAAAACTTCATATATTCATAAATTGCAATGAGACTGGATGTTTAACTTTAGATTTCCTGCTGTGTCTCTGGGGTTTATCATCATGAGGATTTCCTAAGAGCCAAAGACACTCTTTTCACACTGCTTAGTGTCATTGCTGACTAATGGCAGGACACTAAGGTAATACATGTACACCTCCCTTATTTGCACAGAGATGCCAAATGACTGGTATGATCAAAAAGCTGTGTGCAGGTATTTAAGAAATATGCACACCTCATGCACTCATGGAGACGGCAGCAAATACAGAAATACTCCCTGAGATCCAAACCAGCACAGCCCTCTCACACATTCCACAACGGTTTCCTCACACAAGTGGAAAGAAACCAAACCCTGGCCTTTAAAAGAAAACAAATGGTGGTTCTGCCAAGCCCAGGGATAAAGCACTGAGGAAAACTCCCTCCTTCCCTCTCCACCTCTCTGCTCCAGTACAGTCCCGCCTCCAGTCTGCAACTATATCAGCAGCCAGCCTCCCACTGTCAAACTCCACAGAGCGGAATAGTCCACAGCTGCCTAACTGTCCTCTCTCCTCGTGTTGTCTCTTGACCAGCAGATAGTCAGCCATCATGTATTACCAGCAGAGCTTCACCGGCCCATCAATGGTCACCAGACAGACCCGCAGCTACACATCAAGCGCTGCCCCCCACAAGGCCCACAGCGTGTCAGGGCTCAGCTTCAGGAGCGGCCCTCGCATCTCCTCCTCCAGCGCCAGGATTGTCTCCTCTGGGTATGGCGGTGGTATGGGAGGGGGCTTTGATCTGTCTAATGCCCTGGACCAGAGCACCATTCACCTGAATGAGAAGGCCACTATGCAAAACCTCAACGACCGTCTGGCCAACTACTTGGACAAGGTGCGCTCTCTGGAGGCAGCCAATGCCAAGCTGGAGCAGCAGATCAGAGAGTACTACGAGAAGAAGGGCCCAGCAGCAGAGAGAGACTACAGCAACTACTGGGCTATCATCAACGACCTGAAAGACAAGGTATGGAGTGTGGTGGCCTCTGCAAGTCAAATATTTGCAGGGCGGTTAATGATTATCAGGGGAAGCTTTAAAAGGATAAAGAACCTGATGTGCAGCAGAAATTGTTTTTTAAATCTTCTGGGTCTTTATAGAGCATGCATTATGTTAGACTAGAGGAAATATGCTTTACTCAACAGTTTGAGTTGTAGATCAGATTAAAAACCAATCTACAGCATAGTGTGAAACTTTAAATGATCTTTGCAACCAATCCTAAATCTTCTGTGCTTCTCTCCTTTAAGATCAACGGTGCCACCATTCAAAATGCCAACATCCTGCTCCAGATTGATAACTCTAAACTGGCAGCAGATGACTTCAAAACCAAGTAATAAAAAGCTTTTAGATTATGTCAAACAAGCATAACTGTAAAAGTCGTGTCATTCTAATGATCTTCATTTCTTTTACCTAACTAGATTTGAACATGAGTTGATGATTCGCCAGTCTGTCGAAGCTGACATTGCCAACCTCCGCCGCCTGCTGGACCAGACCACCCTGACCAAGGCTGACCTGGAGATGCAGATTGAAGGCTTGCAGGATGAGCTGGCCTACCTGAAGAAGAACCATGCAGAGGTGACTGACATCGAGTAGCTCTCCAATGCTTCAACATACCGATGCCATGCTGACAACTCTAATCACCGTATTCAACCTTTTTAGGAACTGGCTGCAATGCGCTCTCAGCTCACTGGCACAGTCAACGTGGAGGTGGATGCTGCACCTCAGCAAGATCTGAACAAAGTGCTAGAGGAGATCCGTGCCCAGTATGAAGCCATCACTGACAAACATCGTCGGGACCAGGAGGCATGGTTTAATGAGAAGGTAGGGGAGACTTTCCTATAGACAAGCAAGTTTCACCCTACAATTTGTAGGTTTTAAGCTTGTGTTTAAACCTAATCTTTGTAATGACAGACGTAAAAATGTCTTTATGTTTCTCATATAGTCAGTGGCACTGACCAAAGAGGTGGCCATGAGCACAGAAACCATCCAGACATCTAAGACAGAGATCAACGACCTCAGACGCACACTCCAAGGTCTGGAGATCGAGCTGCAGTCCCAGCTCAGCATGGTAAGCATAAAACAGCAGCCCTTAAAACCTCAAAACAAGGTGTTTACACTTCTTTAATTGTTTCTTTACATCAGCACATGTTGTCAGATTCACACCTGGTGAGGAAAAATGAGTGGGAACAAAGGATAAAAGGAGAGGATAAGAGATAGTAGGCATTACTGGAGGAAAGCGGTAGGGAAGACAGGAGGTCCTTCTCAGGAAAGCAGTTCACAGAGACATTTTAACATTCTAAAGGTCATAAATGAGTTTGAGGAAAGCCGAAGAAGCTTTAATCTAGGTTATCTGCTTCCAGATGTTGTAAGTCACTGGGCCCTCCCAGAGACAACCTCACTGGTGCAAACACATAAATACCCACAGAATCTCATTGAAAGCAAGCTGCTCTTTATCCTCTCATAAAGACAGGGGAGCTGCAGAGCAAACAGCCCTGCCTTTGAGTTAGGCCTTTTGCATCCAGGGTGTGGCTGCTGCACTGAAAAAGCTCAATAAGAATCCCTCACAAAAAGACTCCAGGCTCTCAATATTTCATTGCAAGCAGAAAAAACAGCAAAATCATTTTAATTTCTCCTGTTCTTTGACAGAAAGGGGCGCTGGAAAATACGTTAGCAGAGACAGAGGCCCGCTACAGCTCCATGCTAGCTGGTCACCAGAACACCATCAACATGCTGGAAGCAGAGCTCTCCAACATGCGATCAAGCATTGAGCAGCAGGCCCAGGAATACAAGATGCTGCTGGACATCAAGAGCAGGCTGGAGCAGGAGATCGCCACCTACAGGAGCCTGCTGGATACAGAGGAGTCCAGGTAAACCCAGGTAAGAAGACTTGTTTGACCCTTTACAACTAAAATTCCACTGGTAAACATTCAAAGTCTCCTCACTCACTGTTATTTTCAATTTCTCTTTCTTTGTGTCACAATTACAGATCCACAAATACAGGTAAGAGACATAGATTTGCATAAAAACATTGCAAACATTTTCATGGTAGCCTTGATAAATGGAATGATTGTTGTCTCTTTCTTTGTAACAGGAGGCTAATGACCACAATCACCACCATAACTGTGCGCTCTTTAAGCTAGAAAAACAGCCTGGCAGGACAAGCCTGTATCAGACCCACACTCACATAGACTATCGGTTTTTTAAATGCTGTTACATGAGAGGAGAGAAACTATAATGAAAAATCTTGAAAACAAAAATAATTAAGATGGGTTGATGTAATCTGTGTGTGTGTTTGTTTGAAACTGGTTTGACAAATAAAATCTGCTGGTTGAGATAAGATTTTGCCTGTTTTCTTTGACTCCACCTTCACATCTATTTTACATTACATAGCTTTGTGTTTATGTGGTTTCCATGGCAGCGATGGTGCTTTTTTTTTTTAGGAAATGTGTTACGTAATCAGGCTGCTGTCAGGAAAACGGTGAACAATAGCTCAGAGCTACAGTCTGGAAAGGATTAGCGGATCCAGAGGAAAGGCCACTCAGCTGCTTCCAGCTCTAACAAAAAAGGTTACATGGTTTTGCAAATATATTAAAACCACTTGAACATTTTCCCATCACATTAGCACCACAAACTTTATTGCCTATCCTTGTTTTCCTCGACCACACAGTATGTGCACCCCTAAGAAAGGTGAATTATACATTACTTGGGATTTATCACACGTCTTGAACAGCAAAGTTAAATTTTATTAGCCACTTTCAGTACTGATAACTGCTTGTCCTGTAAAATTGATACATCCCTTATCCAGATCCTGCCTGACACTTGAAAACAACTCATCATGGTCTGACCTGAGGACTAAATGAGAAACAGAGTCATTGACATCTGCTGTTTGACATCAATAAGTATGAAAAAGAAAACTAAGCTATTTGTAAGGTTTGAGAATCAACCAGCATGATGCATTTTGGAACAGTGGTCAACTTTATTCCAATGGTAGAATAATGACTCTTTCAAAAACTCACAAAAGAACCCAGAACATTTAAAGCTCTGCTGGTCTTACTGGACTTTTGTCAACGTCCATGATTCATCATTAAGAAAAAGACATGGCAATAATGGCTCTTTATGGGAGAGGTTCTAATACAAAAATCACTTCTGATCAAATCGAATAAAGCATATTTCCTGCTGTCTATTTATGCTCAGATAGCAGTTCAGAATCTAAAGTTTAGGGATCTGTTTATCATTCAGGAGATCCAAAGCACCTAGATCCTGTAGGGTACACGAAAAAACGTTATGCTTAAAACCCTCATTTTCTGGTTGAACTGAGACAATTCTAGAATAGAATTCAACCTTATTGTCATCACATTGTCATAAGTACAAAGTAACGAAATTCACTCTCTGCATTCAACCTATCCCTTTGAGGAGCAGTGGGCTGCGATTGTGCGGCGCCCGGTAAGCAGTGTGGGGTTAAGGGTCTTGCTCAGGGACCCAGGGTGGCAGTACGCTGGAGTGGGGCTTGAACTCAGAACCTCTGGAATGCAAAAGTGCAATGCCCAAACCACTAGTTCATCACTCCCCACACACATTAGAGTGAGAAAAAACTTTCTCAACAATAAAGCAAAAACTAATTACTACTTATCATATGCATGTGGGGTTGTTTTTTGTTTGTTTGTTTATTTATATGGGCCAATCTGAGATCACTTCCTTTCCCCCTTAGAAATACAGCCATTATTTGAAAAACTACTTTTTATTTAGTTCTGAATAGTTTTGATAGATAATGTGAAACATTTAGGGTTACAATAAAAAATAAGAAAAAAAGGAAAGTAAAGTTTGGTGGGAATATATATTTTTTTCACATTGTAAAAACTATCAAAATGAATTTAAAGTTGTGGTTATAATGTAAAAAAAAACTGTGGAAAAAACAAAAGATGTGTAAATACTTTTGAAAGTATGTGAATGGCTAAAATGAAATAGAAAATGGCCAAACTGTTTGTGTCTTTTTTTTTTTTAGGAAGACACACCCAAATGGTTGACTAATCTTTGCCCTGGAAGCTGCTCTGTACAGTTACACCAAGTCTGTGTAACTCCTGTAACCTAGAAACAAGAACACACACATGGCCTAAGACAGACAGATGAAGTAAGAAACAATGCAAACAGTGACTAACTAAACAAAGACAGTCATTGTGGAAACAGGTGTTATCAGTATAGGACTCTGATCTCCTCTATGACAGAGATTAATGCCAAAAACACCAGAGAGGCCTTCTTTGGGTGGGAGGTGATAGGAGGCCTTTGCTTTGTGCAAGCGTTGCCTAAAATCACAGAGAAATCCTTTAAGGGGTTCAAATTCTCAACTGATGAAGTAATTCGGCTGGCCATAACAGAAGATCTCATTACAGCTTTTAACCCTCTCAGAGGAGCTAGAGACTTTGGAGCTGTCGTGCTGCCGATCATAACCTCTTTCACACTTTATGCAAAGTACTTAAGTTATCTCTCTAATTTTATAGGTAAATCCACAGCAGAGGTCATAAAGAGATGGAGCCCTTTTAGCTGAAACAGTGTTCAACAAACCAAATGCCTTGTTTAAGAGATACTTCATCACTCTCTTGAAAGGGGCCTCTTTGTGTTAACTCATTGCTAAACCAAGATCATTTTATCTTCAGATTACATTCGAATAATAAAAGGGACAGTGTCCCCTCCTAAGCTGTAACTGTGAGATTGTACCAGCACAAACTTGTAAAAAAAAAAATTTAATAAAGCAAAGTCTTATCTATGCATATACGTATTCTATCGATCAACTCTACTATGTAACATGGCTTGGCAGCATAGTTTGTTGAGTGAGGTAGATGAGTGAACTACGAACAAGTAGGGGCCACCAGGAGATGTATGATGCTGAACACGCACAAAGAGGCAAAGAGGGAATCTGTGCAGGGCCTGTTGTTATGGATGTCGGTGGCTGATAGGGGTTATGCAATGATAGGTTTGGGTTGGTCTTTTATAAATAATTAGTTCCAAAGGCAAATTAGCAGTCATAATTAAAATGATTAATTTTTGCGAAAGGAATTAACTGCTTAACAGTTCTCAGTCTCTGTCACATTGTTATATGAATACCTGCCTGATTAGGAGCTGAACAGCGGAACAATAGATGAAGATGTGAATTGGTTAACTGGTGTCCTCCAACATTAAGCTCTGACCAAATAAAAAGATTAAACATAAGTTCTTTCAAAAATGTAAGAATTTGATAAAATAGTCATTCAACCGTCAGTCTGTCTGTCAGTCAGTCAGTCAGTCAGTCAAGAAAGAAAGACAGAAAGAAAGAAGTCTGGTTCTTGGAACCAAGAACCAAACCTCCCACAGTGGGTAATATATTCTTATCACTGACTACCCAACGGATCTAGAAGAAAGCAAAAGAGCAGTGCTTTATAGCTCCTACTTTTAAATAAGGAACATTTTTTGAGGACTTTCGGCTACATTGGAGGGCCTTACATCATGAGTAAATGGTTCATTATTAAATGGATCATTCATCCCTCCAGCATTTTAATGTTTTTTTTTAACCTTTTGAAGTCAACCTATTGGAGTACTGTTTATATAGAACTATTTGAACCTGTTGACTTTTTTTCTTGTTCTGTTCCTGTTTGATGTTTAAAGTATGAATTGAAAATCTATTCAAAAATGGAACAGTATTATAGACATTCTGTGTTTTCCCAAATCATGCCTGAGCTCATGTGCTTTACTGATCAGTTATACTGGTTTGCATTGGGAACACAGAGTTTTTTTCTGGTGTATTAAGCAGGAAATGTCCTCGACTTAAAATTTTAAAGCAACACCCATGTTAAAACTCATAAATATCAAAAGATTGATTTGACATTGAAGCGAACGAACCACGACCCATCACCGGGTCGGGTTTGGTCGCTCCTTCCCCCACTGACTCCCTGACCCCGTCCGCCTGGGTTCCCTGACCAGCCCCAGAGCTGACGGCTCGGTTAGGGTGCCCGATGTGTTTCGACTACGTGCTGCACTGTAGTCGACCAAAATCCCGGACGATTTAGAAATTCCCGCCGGACATTTTTTTAGCTATGAAAAGTAGGACATGGAAAAATAGGACATCTAGTCACCCTACCAAATCAACAATCTTGATGTTTCAGTGAGTGAGTGCTTGTTGCTATGATGAGTCTTTGCTCTGCAGCTTCGCTTGTTGTAATCCAACCAATCAGCGCACAGCACATCTAAATATTCATTGAGCAAACCATAAAAGGAAGAAAACCTGTTGTTTCATTCTAGGGCTTTTAATCAGGCTTGCATTAGAGCACATAAAACAGCAAATATGCCATTTTCAGCCCAACCAGTGTTACACACCCTATTCATAGACCTTAAGGATCAGCACCAAATACCCTATATAATATTTCTATGACCCCTTTAAAGGACTTTGATGAATCCTTGTTTGAAGAGGAGATGTATTGTGTGGATCGGATCTCCACATACAGTACATCTCCATGGCAACATTTGGGAGTGGTTTGGAACCTGCATGGAAAATACAAATACAGGACATAAGGGAAAGTCTTTCTTTTAACATGATATTAATTTTAACATGATATATTTCCTGATGTTGTCTGTAAAACTAAATCTAACCTCCTTTTCTATATTTGTTTAAACAAACATTGCTTGATGTTTTTATTCTTCTGCTCCTGATCTCACCTGTTGCTGTTTTTATGTAACAAGTATCTGACTCCACCTTTTAGATCCAATGATTATGGAAACTTCTTAGATTTGATTAGGTTTCTTGTTGCTTTTGATATGATTCAAATAAATAAGGAAATAGAAAACTTATCTTGGGATACTTTTTTTTAGGTGTATTCAAATATGCTGCAACCGATTCAGACATTAGACTGATTTAATTCAGTTGTCATCTTTCTTGCTTTAAAGGTGCTGGTAAAGATGTGAGGTGTTTAAGTCCATCAAATAATACAGTTAGGCTTGCCTTTCTGTTACAAATCTAAATGTGTCGTAAAGGCAAAGTGGGAAAAGGAAACACCCAATACGGCTAGAACAAGAACAAACGCAGCTTTTAGGCCCAGGTGTTTACAGGAAGAAAGGTGTGGTCTAATCCATGAACACATAGTAGTACTGTAATGCATTAATCATTAGTGATTTACTGGAGCACGTAACATTTTGATAGTTAACATCTTATATTTTATTCTTGCATTTCAGTACGCCCTTGATTGTGAATTGTAAGGGTATTTCTTTAAAGGATCTTACAAGTTAGGGCAGGTTAGCTTTAAACACAATGATTAGGCAGAGTCTTGAAAAAACAGCATAAGTCAAATGACTCAATCATTGCACTTTTTTCATGC